TACATGGAAATCATTTCACTTAATTATTGTGAGAACTCAGTGAGGTCAGCATTGTCTCCTTTATTCTTACAAATAAAGAAACAAGTGGAAAGATGCAATTTGTATAAACCCAAACTGGAACCATCATTTGAATTTGAGTCCAGTTAAATCCCTAGTCTTTTCTGAGCAGATTGACTGAACCTCTTGCCTTAACATTTTGTCTGTCTAGCTAGCTTTGAATTCCCTGGTATTGCATGTCTTCCAGGCAATTGCTGCATTTTCCATCCCTCTTGCTGCCCTTAAATCCTACGCTCTCCCATCTTGATTTATTGCTTCTGTCTACTCTTTTGATTGGGAGTCTCACTTACCCATCCACCAGTCACTTCCTGGGACTGTGGCATCAGGCATGTCACCCAACTTTCTGCTCTCTAAACTATGCATTTTAGACTTTGGTGTTAAGAACTCCAGCACATTTATCAGGATTAGAAATTATAGGGGGGAAAAAACAAGTAATTTGAGGAAGACTTGATAGAAATTGGCCTTGGCCTTCATTAAAAAATAGAGACAGATCTGGCCTGTTCATGCCCCCATTTCACCCTACGAGATGAGAAAGAGCACCATATTGACCTTAATGTAGGCCACCCCAGCTTACCTGTTATCCTGTTGGCTCTCTCTTTACTCTCTGTGTCTCAGTTTGGATCACACATTAGAAATATTCTTTCAATACAGGCTTTAGTCACACAGATCAGTTTTGAATTCCCCTCTCAGTATGCAGTGGCTGTTTCATCTTGAAGAAGTTCCTTCTCTGAGCTGCCATGGCCTCACAATAAAATATGGTTAAGAATGGCCTAGGGTAGTGTGTAAAAATGAGTATGGTGTAGGCATCCCCCAGTCAGAAGGGACATTGGCCATAGCGTGAGGACTCAGAGGTCACGAGCAGCTGATGGTCATCGTTTGGTGTCTACTTGAGGATGAGATTTCTTAGAAGAAACACAGAGTGGTGAAAATACTCCAGGGGCCTCTGGGGTGGCAGTGTGCAGAAGAACCTTGGGATTGTTGACTGTCTTGGTATTGCTGTAGGAGCCTTCCTTCTGGCAGTCACACAGACCAGTACTGAATTCTTTCAATGTGCAGTAGTTTATTATCTTGGGGAAATATTTTCCCTGGAACTCATGGACTCACAATAAAGTAGGGTTATGTGTAATGATTAGTATAAGCACCCACCAATGTCCCAGGAAGGGGTTGCTGTAATACATCCCTGACTTGTCACGAGAAGCTTGTATTCCTGCTGGACCCATCATATAGGAAGCAGCAAACACAACAGTGTTAGGTTATAAACAGGAATATAAGACTGGAGTTAGTCTGGCCATTTCCCTGACAAAGAGATGTGCCGCTCCGTTTTATATGACATTTTACAGCCCTGCCTCGTGAGAGGGTTTGCATGTGGCTCTGAGTAGGGAAAATCTCTTAGTCTAGAGAAAAGACTTCTCCGAAGGACCAGGAATGACTACAGGCCTCTGCGTGGCAGTTCTTATGATGTAGTCCCCGAGCAGGACGGACCTACTTTTCTAGAAAAGCTGGTTTTAGAATAATTTTGTAAGATCCCCTGAGATAACAATCAGAAAGAGACCTGTGGCTGTAGAGTCACACTTAAAAGACTAGAGAAGCAAAAGACCTTATAATTATCTGGAAGTGCTACACAAACTCCCTCCCTCCACGTGTTCAAGTTTAAGAGTACATATAATTTCAAGGAGAGGTAGACGGAAAATCCAGAATGACGGGGTAGTGTTAGACTGTAAAAGAGATATTACACATGTCTCATTTAGAATTCCTAAGTTTATAGCCTTTCTTTAAAGAGGTGTGTCAGGAGCTACACGGCCCTGTGCGTGCCTGTTCTCTGCTTTTCTCTTTCCTCCTCCCCCTCCTGCTCCCCCTCTTGCTCCCTCCCCCTCCTCCTCCTCTTTCTTCTCCTCCTTTAGTTACAAGGTCCCACATATCCCAGGCTGAACTCCCATTCCCTAGGTAGCCAAGGATGTCATTAAACAGACTTTCCTGCCTCCATCTCCCAAGTGCCGTGGGTACAGGCATGAACCACCATGCCTGATTTTATAGTTGTGCTTGAAATCGAGCCCAGGGTCTCAGATGTGCTACACCCCCAGCCAATGCTTTCTTTTTACCTACCTCTGCAGCCCTTCCATCCATCATTCCCCTTCTGACCTTTCCTGGCATTCTTACCGGTTCACCTCCCAACAGCCCAGGTAGAAGCCCCGCCCTGTTTCCTCAATTCAAGGAGCTCTCTCATGGGGCTTTGCTCTTCCACTGTTCTCTCTGTCCCGAGGCCCTTGGAGCAGTGCTGGAGTGTACAGATATTCTGGAAATGTCTGCTGAACAGACAGCTGCACCCTCTTTTCTCTTCACTGACGGACTCTAGAATGCACACCTGCTGTCTAAGCCAGTCCTCACCATTCCGAGTCTCCTGCCTCCTCCTGTATCCCGGACATGCCTGGTCCCCTCAGCATCATTGAATACCACCTTTCTTTCCCCTCTCATCTGCATGGCTGTGCACTTTCCCAGTCATCTTCTATCTTAACCTCATTATTTGGGGAATCCGAATTCTCCGCTTTCATATTATTTATAAACAAATCGGATTCTTTTCCTCTGCCCCTAAATGAAGCCGTGTTTCTCCCAGGCTCTCTTCTTGGCTTCCTTCTCTCTGTGAGTCCAGCTATTCCAGCGATTTCAATGATAGTACGTGTAAGGTAATTTCCAAGTCCACCTGGCCAGTCTCCACCTCATTTGCTTTCTGTACCTACTCAAGGGACTCTGGAGATGGGGGGACAGAACACAGGCTACTCACTGGCGAGAGCCTGGCTAAGTGTGACATTTTGAATCTCGTCCTTACACTACTTGCGAGTGTTTCTTTGTGGCCACGGTACTTCCTAACCCTCTTCAGTTTGCTGAGGTCTTACCATCTCTCGGTCCCTCTCTGCTTTCAGTTCCTGGCGCACTCTCCACGGCACACCTCCAGTTCTGGGTTTTGTCTGTTCCACCCCGTCACAGCCACCTGCAGCCTGCAGCCTCGATGAAAATGGTTTGGGGGACATTCATCTGGTGTCCCAGGTGAACAATGACTCTCTGGGCTCTGAGTCTTTGCCTCTCTTGGCATCCTACCACTGTCTGCCCGAGGTGTCAGCCTCCTGTTGCCAAAGAATGTCAGCAGAGAGTTATTTAAGTGAAGTTTGAGAGATGGGCATAATAAAAATATTATAGTTGGACTCGGGAGTGTGTAACAGAGGTAGTTTTATGAGGTATGATAGCTTTCTGGAGTTAATGAAACATTTGACATGGCCTGAAACTGCAAGACCAGTGAGGGCTGGCCCCAGGGCCTTTCCCTAGAAGAGTTCTCGGGGTACCATCTCCCTTTCTACCTGGGTTCCACCTTTGCTGTGTCTCTGCCTGTGAAAGCAGGGTCAAGGCAGTTCCTTCTGCCTTAGGTCCTGCGGTGAAGATTGTACAAATGTGCCCCACTCTCCCCAGTGTTTTTTAGAACTCCCCAAGACTGCGGTGTGGTGATATATTGTGTACCCTAATAAACTTACCTGAGGATCAGAGGACAGAACCAGCCACTAGATTAGACACAGAGGCCAGGCAGTGGTGGCACACACCTTTAATCCCAGCACTTGAGATCTCATGCCTTTGCTTGGGAAGCACATATGCCTTTGGTCCCAGGAAGTAAGATGGCAGGACAGAGAACGGTATATAAGGCATGAAGAAGCAAGAACTCACTCTTTTTAGACTGAGGATTTCATAGAGGTAAGAGTTAGTGGCTGGCTGTTCTGCTTCTCTGATCTTTGAGCTTTCACCCTGATATCTGGCTCTGGGTTTTTTATTATAAGACCACTTAAGATTTGAACACTCCAGGATGAGATCATTTATCTGGAGAAGAGCAGAAAACAGAGATCAATTTTGGCTGCCTGCTTTTGTAATGCAACCTGAGATAGCACGCTGAAATGGGCCAATAGTACATGAACCTTCAAACTGAAAAGCTTCCTCCACTTAGCATAAGACCAGAGCAAATCCAGTGTGGATTTCTAAGGAATACCACATGATCAGCATATGCGACATCCCATTCACATGCTCAGCACCCTTGGCTGGTTTGATAGTATTGGCTACACATAACTTTGGACCATAATGACCTGCGCAGATCCCAGGTCTGTCCCTTTAGTTTATGGACTATATTTTTGGCCTCTCCTAATCACATGTCACATTTCCCTGGGCTCTGGGACCAAGCTCCCATCTGGCTACATTTCTGGAGCTTAGAAACTAGATGAAATACAACCCCTGGACCAATTGTAAACAAGGGTTATTTAAGTAGCTTCACCAAGTGTCATACTACCCAGGTAGTATTATCTTCTCACATGCTGGTGTGAATCTCCAGGCAGCCCCATAAGTAAATAATAGGCTGGCTGGTGATAGCAGTTAACCTCTGTTGAACTCCTATTATGTGGCAGGTACAAGGACATCCTTAGCATACCTGTTCTTACAGCCATCATTGTGATGGATGTCAGTATTCCCATTTGACAGATGAGGAAATAGAGTCTTAAAAGTATGAATTTTTCTAAGTCACATAGCTGGTGGGTAGCAAGGCTAGTATTAGAATGAAACCGGTCTAACTCTAAAACACATGCGTTGAAGGCCCTGTAATGGTAGTGGAAACACCAGATGCTTGAGCAGCTGCTCAGTTCTGGGTAATGGGGAAATTCTTAGGCTTAAGACGTGGTACCTGATGCTAGCTCACTCTCTTTGCTTGCATCCTCTCTCAGCATCTGGCAGGTGCGAGCACCAGGCCCATTATATTTGTAAAGAAACCTTTGCAGCCCCTAACATTACTATTTGCTCCTGAGCAGGTTGGAAGTGTTTTGTTTAACCCCCACGCCCCCAAGACAGAAAATACTAAAGTGATTGGGACACATAATACCCTATAAATAATTTGTTCAACCCAAATTTTGTTTTGTTTGCAGAGAATGGCAAATCTGTCCACTGGAAGCTGGGCGCTGATAAGAAGGTGTGGGTTTGGGTGATGGGCGAACACCATCTCGACAAGCCCTACGATGTGCTGTGTGATGAGATCCTGGCTGAGAGGGCGCGTCTGAGAGCAGCACAGGACTCAGAGCTCAGGTAGGAGCCCTGCACCCCAGCCAGAGACTGGCCGCATTTACGAAGGCAGTGTGTATCAGTTACTTCTTTTCATTGCTGTGACAGGATACTTAACAAAAGCAACTCAGGGAAGTAAAGGTTTCTTTGTCTCAAAATTAAAAAGGAATATAGTACATCATGGCCAGGAAGGCATGGTGGCAGGAACCTGGTCACATGGCACCTACAGTCAAACAGCAGGGTGAACGGAAAGTGGGGCTGGAGTATAACACATAAGACCCGCCCCCAATGACTCACTTCCTCCAGTGAGACTCCACCTCCCAAAGGTTCTACAACATTCCCATCAGCTACAGACCAAGTATGCAGACACATGAGCTTCTGGGGGTATTTCACATTCAACAACAGCACTCTGGAGAGACACCTCTTGCTCACAGCATCTGGTAGGAGAACACAGTGAAATCTGAGGGTCAAAAGATCACGTTAGATCTTTCTAGAAAGTTCACTTGAGCTTTCAGCAATACCCTTCTTGCCTGCAATGCTGCCAGGCAACTGCTTCGTGGCTCTGACAGACATCCCAATGCTGATTTGCATGAATATGCTGGCTCCTCCTCCTCCTCCTCCTCCTCCTCCTCCTCCTCCTCCTCCTCCTCCTCCTCCTCCACTGCTCTATCAGCATCTTCCTGGAGCAGCACCACAGGATGCAGCCACGTGTCAGGTGTGTTTGGGAGAACTGCACCAGCTGCGGGCCGCTGAATGGCAGAGTCCTCAGGTGCTTGTGCCATGCCAGGCATCAGGAATGCCAAGAGAATCAGAAGAATTCATCCCGGCCCACGAAGGAAACAAGGCAAGATACACAAGCAGCTGTCACAATGCAGGCTGTGTCCAGAGGGAGACTTGGTTAAGGTGTAAACAGAATCCCCCTGGTCCAGGTGGAAGCCCAGCATTCTGATGCTAGAAGAAGGGAAATGTGAGTTGAGCCTTAAGGAAGAGTTGGGTATCCAGCTATAGAAGGTTAGGAGAGAAATTCAAGTAGAGGACGCAATCAGGATTCCTCAACTTGGTTTTGCACAGCTCTGTGGGGAGTGGTGAAACCTTCTCAGTGCTTGGGGTACAGTATCAGGTGAATCCTGGGAGACGGGGAATGATGCTTTAAGGTACTTTGAAGGCTAGGCATGGGAGTCTGAACCTCTTTTAGGGACAGTGAGATTTTCATGGTGAATTGACATAGTCAACTGGACACATAAGAGACTTGGAACAGAGGCAGGTGATGATCACCTCTGCTGGGTATCCTCCTCGAGTTCTGGGCAGCTCCACTATTGAGCTGGTGAGCTGAAACTGGAAAAGATGTGTGGACCTAACTTCAGCGCTCAAAGGCTAATAGTATCTCACTCCAATTCTCATGATGTTAAAACTATAAATGAACATACAGCGATGCAGGGGATATTCTTTGAATGGCCATAGGAAGGCAGCATATACCGGTAGCCTAGCTGAATCAGGAGCTGGGTAACCCTGGGTTCAAATCCTGACAAAACTGTTATGTGGTCTTGTGTAAATTATAGTATTTCTTTGAACCTTTTATTGTAACACGAGGATAACCTCAGGTGGTTGTTATAAAGAAAGATTTAGTTAATATTTTTAAAGTTCTAGGCAAAGACCTATCAGATGATAAGTGTTATAATACGCGAGCTGCTGCTGCTTTTCACATAGTTTGATTGTAGACACCTGCCTTGGAAAGCCTGTTGAAGAAGGGTTTGATCATTTACCCTTTGTTTCTCTGCAGGAAAGCCCAGTCTGTGGAATTCACCAATAGCTTGAGAACAAAGTCACAGAGCTGTGGTCAGCAGGCACTAGAGAAGCTGGAGCCGCAGAATGTCACCAGGAAAGCAGCGGCAGAGGAGACACCAGGGCAAGGACCCAGAGCAACACCGACCAAGAGTGAGGACAAAGCCCGTGTGAGTCTTACCTGCACACCAATGTGCAGAATCCCACAGCCAGGGAGGGCAAGGGAAGTGGCCACCGACACAGACAGAGCCGTGCCCTGGAAGCTCAGACACCTCCAACCTTTGAGATCCCATCAGTCACCTTATATTGGGGGTGGGGGCATTTTTTACCTTATACTTCATGAGTACAGTTAAGTATCACCTTTTCCCCAGTGGGGCTGGTACTGACAAGAAACTCTAGTAAAGTTTGACATTTTACTATGTTTTCAAATTTTCCCCACTTATATAACAGAAGACTATAACCACTCGTTTGTTTGGTTTTTGTTTTCTTTTGTCTTCTCAGTAAAAATCACATAGAAAATAAGGCAGGCTTTGTGGGCCAAATAATCCTTGTCGTGACTGCACACAAATGAGCAAGTATGGCTGTGGTCCAGTAACACTTTACTCACAGATCCATGCAGGCAGGACTCAGCCCATTCCCGAGTTAGAGTACGTTCTGTGGAGTCTTCCTTTTTAATGCACGGGCTCTAAACATGAGTTTCGGCTTCTGGATTCTGCATGCAATGTAGCAATAGCTGCCTTCTCCACAAAACAGAATTTTACGCTAAGAACTGGTATGAATTCTTTTATGGAGCAGATGCTTTAGAAAGCTCAAATATAATTTGCTTCTTGGATTCTAGTTTGGAAGAACAATAAACTGTGTTACAAAGTACACTATTCTGCCAGAAATTTAATTACAGTGTGAATTACCAGAGGATTGGCTGTTGTTTGACTTACGTTCAAGTCCACGTGGGTTACATGTGACTAGGGCAGCTGCCTGAAGCTCCCTTTGAGGCTGGCCCATGGGGATACGGTTATCTCTGTCCTGCCCACTTTCTGAGTCTGATAATATTCTAATCATTAACAGGACTCAAGGGTTATTACGTGGGCAAAGGCAGATCAGGCTGCAGAATATCTCCTTTCATGCTCACAATACTGTGAATTAGCTACTGCTTATCTTTGTCCACTCTACTTATTTTTTAATGTACTTCTGTTCACATGTGAGTACAGGAATGTGTGTATGTATGTGGAGCCCAGAAGACAATCTTCAGTGTCATTGTGAAGGAAATCATCTACCTCAATTTAGATAAGGTCTCTCATTAGCTTGAAGCTCACCAGTCAGATTAGACTGGGCGGGGGGGGGGGGGGGGGGGGGGAAGAGGGGGGCAGTGAGCAAGATATTCTCCTGTTCCTGCTTCTGCAGTTCTGGGATTGCGAGCATGCGCTCCTTAACCTCTCTACATGGGTTCTGAGGACTGAACTTAAATCCTCACACTTGCAGAGCAAGCGCCTTACTGACTCAGCCCTCTCCCTCTATCTTTGTTTGTCTTACAAGTGAGGTAGGCTTGGACAAGCGACACGCTGAAGATCTCACTCAGACCGAGGTCGTCTTGATCCCTAAGTTACTCCTTAATTGTCAGTTCTTCTTCAGAGACTTATTTGTCTGTTTTTGTTTTATGTGTGCGTCTGTGTGTATGTATATGCATCGTGTATATGCATTGCCTAAGGAGGCCAGAAGAGGGCGTCATAGCCTCTGGAGTTACAGACAGTGGTGAGCTGCCATTGAGGGTGCTGGGAGTCAAACCCAGGTCCTCTGGAAGAGCAGCCATTGCTCTTAAGTGCCGAGCTGTCTCTCCGGCCCTCTCAACTGTTGACTCTTACCAGTGACTGTGTCCTTACTCTGAAGACTATGAAGAAACTCCACAAATATAAGACTTGTAGTCTTTAGTCCAAAGTTCTAAAATTTGTTTTGAATCCTCACACCAGCCCTGAGGACTCCCCCTCATCTTCTCAGTGAGGCTCCCAAGCTTTCTCATACTTAGTGTGCACTCAACATGATACTCAGTGTGCACTCAACATGCTTTACACTAAACCCTCTCCAAGCTACTCTGTTTCTCAGACCCCTGAAATGAAGAGCTGCAGCAACAACAAAAACCTCAGGGAACACCAGGTATGCACGCTTATCTTTGTGCTTGAATTCCATTGTCAGAGTATCACACTTTTCAAAACTAGGATGAAAGAATAAAAGAGAAACTAAACATCCATCTTGTTCAAACATATCATAAGCGTAGAGTGGCACTGTCTTACTCCTTTGTCTGCTAAAGTTTCAAGTGGAAAGTGATGAGGGGGGAGAAAAGGAAACATTTAGATCCAAGAAATGTGGATGTTGGTGAAAGCTTTTTTTTCTTTATGTCTGTTATTCCTATGTTGGGCTTGGGAGTCCTGCCAAGTTCTGCTGTGATGTTTCCTGAAGTTCCCTCTAGCAGTGGGACCTTTACGTTTGAATGGCAGAGTCCTGGGTAATATGTGGAATCTACTTAATGGCCTATTTATATTTTGCTCGTAAACCCTGCCTATGTTACTACAGCATAAACTACCGAGTCGGTCATGGTTTGGTATAGCAGCAAAGGGAGAATAATACTATCTAGTAGAATTTTGGGATGAGTGAAAGAGATAATAAATACAAATGCACCAAGTCAATCCCCAACACCTGCCAGGTGTTTGGTTGGTTCCTGTTCCTCTTTCTCAATAGTATTTTTAACTTATAGAGAACAAGGACAGGGCCCCAAGCCTGATTTAATTACTAATTACTAAAGCATCAGGATAATAAAGTTGGAGTCAAAATAACCACACCATCAGGAGCTTTACTGATGTGGAGGTAGGCAGAGATTTAACTAATGTTTAATTTCGAATGATAATGAATGCTCTGAGGGAAATTATGGGTTTCCATGCATCCCCATTACATTAGGACTTGGGCCAGGGCTTCCAGAATGGCCTCTGTGAGGACTTGAGTGTGAGATGGTCAACGAAGGACTCTTGGGGGCTACAGTTCCAGCCAATGGCAGCATGGAAAAAGCCTTTGAGGGGATCAAGTAGAAGGGGAAGTGTGAATGTCTTGTTACTCTGGAGGTGAGCAAGGACAGATAGGAAGGGGTGTGTCAGTGTTTTACTCTATTTTTGGAAATAGTTGGAAATCATCAATGAATATTGAGCAGCTTTATATTTTGAAAAGAATTAGTCTTGCATTGCTGTGAGTGCAGGGACAGGTAGCACAGCCAAGCCTGCACACTTCCTGTCTAGGGAGCAGGAAGCCACCAGCATCTCCTGCAAGAGGAGCTGTGGTTTGGACACAGGAAGGGTTTCTCATGCTGCCCACAGCGGTTGATGGGGTAGGAGCCTATCTTATACATAACCACGTGCGGTTTGCCTTAGAGCTTTTCCTCAGGCTGACTTTTCATTCCCATTCATTTCATAACTTCTTCTGATGTATGAACAAGGCACCTACAAGAGATTCTTTTATAAAGTGAAGAAATTGATGGTCAAGGAGATGATAAGATATGCCTCCAAATCACAGATCGGAACGGCCTTGTTCTGCATATCTACCTCAGTCCCCAGCCTCATAATAACTTTGGTATGCTTTTAGACACGACAAAAACATTTGCCACTGTTTCCAGACCTTTTCCTTCAGATGAGAATGCCTGTGGGAAGGGGCTAGAGAAAGGAGAGTCATCCTATATGTTTCTAACTGAAATCCGTTTCCCAGCAAAGATTTTCAAGTTTTAGCTGTAGTATATTCTAACTCTGGAATGAAAGGAGATTGTCGTTAAAACTCCAGGGTCTTACTAGGCCTAAAATCTATTATGAAGAAAAATATCTCCAAATGCATTTTGTGTGTGTGTGTGTGTGTGTGTGTGTGTGTGTGTGTATGATATATATGCAGATATATGTGCTCACACTCCACTGAGGCCAGAGGAGGATGGCAGGTGTGCTGCCCCATGGTTCGCTATACTATTCCTTTGAGACTTATTCACACAGGGGTTGTTTGTCCATGGCTAGGCTCTAGCCTTTTGCTTCTCACTCCTTGTGAGCTTTGCATGGATCGTTAGAGCTGCCTGGTTGTTCCACATGAGGCTGAGAAGCTGAGAACATGTGGTAGAGTTTGTTCCTGGGACGTCTGGGGAAATCCCATAAAATTTTGGGGCCTCTGGTTTTTCGTCTATAAAAGTGGGGAAGTAAAGCCGGGCGGTGGTGGCGCACGCCTTTAATCCCAGCACTCGGGAGGCAGAGCCAGGTGGATCTCTGTGAGTTCGAGGCCAGCCTGGGCTACCAAGTGAGTTCCAGGAAAAGGCGCAAAGCTACACAGAGAAACCCTGTCTCGAAAAACCAAAAAAAAAAAAAAAAAAAAAGTGGGGAAGTAATGGAATACGTGTGTCATGAAAACAGGAGAAAGGGGACAGTAAAAGGAGACAGAGGGGACAGGAGAGAATAGTAAGGTGGAGAATAAGCAAAAGGTGAGATATGAAAATGTCACAGTGAACCCCATTTCTTTATATTCGAATTTAAAGACTTTATTCAAATACCTGCACTGTTTATCTCATGGGTTGTGGGTACAAACCATATGAGGTAATGGATTCAGAGGCGCTTTGAAAACTGCAAGTCCCAGTGACGACTAGGAGGGGTTATTTTCAGTAGAAACACTGGCCTGCGCTGGCTGCCCACGTCCCCCCTGACTCCACGCTTCACTGCCTGGCACTCCTGGGCTGGTTTACCTGGCTCACTCCTTCCCTGAGTGACTACTTTTCCATGGTTCAGCACATGTAAAGGCAGGCCCTTAGGGAGCCTGCAGGGGGGCAGAAAACAAGATCTTCCCCCTTCCAGGGTTTTAATTCCACCTGGGAGAAGGGAAGCAGCTAGAAGCCAAGGATGAGGCAGGGCTTCATCAAATTTCAGGAGGGGAGTGGTGCACTGGTGTGGGATGAGTAGGATAATGGGGGGAAGATGGCATGCTAGAACGGCAGGTGGGTGAAGGAGAGGTTTGCGGAGCAGAGTGTCAATGGTGTGAAAGCACAGAATGTGTTCTGTGGGAGAGCCAGGGAAGAGAACAGCCTGACTGGGATCAGGCACAGAGGCTAGGACCCAGGAGGGGAGTGATGCCAAGAGGCTGCATTCTGCAGGTGGAAACAGGCTGGTCT